ATATTAACTTTTTATTTGATTTAACTTTAGAAGAAAACTTCGTCGACTCCATCATCAAAAAAATTTTTACTTTTTTAACGTGTTTTATTATTTTAATAAACAATTTTACAATTTGCGTGCACAGTTCCTATGTAAATTTTTCCCTCATTCGATTTATAAATGTTGCCACCAGATGGTGTATGCCCATTTGACGGATCCCAATACTTGATTTTTAATTTAATTTAAGTAGAATAATTATTACTTTTTTTATATCTATAACGAAATTTTTATAGCTCATAATAATTATATAGAAACGATGATTTGGTTTTTTATAGTCCTTTCTTTTCTTAAAATTAAATTCCGTTTTAAATACTATCTACCATCAGTTGAATGGGTCCCGTTCAGGAAATTGTACGGTCACGTTCTAAGCGCGGTTTGAAAAGGTATTTTACACTTGGCTAACGATTTTCAATAAATGTTGACAAATAAAAGCAGTTGTTAAGAGTGCGTTACAAGGGCTCTTCACGTTATTATACATAGAGGCAATTCCAGCACACTTATTACACATAAGTGAGAGGCACTTAAGGTGCCATAAGAGCCCAAAAAGATTAAGCATTATTAAGGGGGTATTAGTTCACTTCATCCACTATGGATTCTGTTGTTACCACGCCGGCTCTCACCTTAGTACCTTTTCCTTCATTGGTAATTCAACAGAACACGTTTCACTTGGTAGTACGCATAGAAGTGCCGATTTCTAAACTTTTCTATGTTTACTACTTGTCTAATACAAGTAAAACTACATTTCGTGTTTAACCCGCCACTTCAGACGAATTAAAGCCTTCTTAAACGTATTATTAAGACAAATTTAGAAAAGCATCAGTTTGTCAAAAGATCTGGTAATCCGATTTTTCGAACGCTAGAAAACTGAGTATACGTATTACCGTTTATCTATAAATTATATCAAGTACAGCAATGTCAATTTGCTCTTTTCAATAACATAGTGAAAAAATATTACACCTTTTTATAATAAATCCGATAGTGTAGTAGTTTTTATAATTTGTACTTAATAAGTTCCTCATTTTATTATAATATTAATAAAGAGTACTCACCAAATCACACAAAAAACCGCATTTTCTTCCAGGTCAGTTTCTGAAACAAAAGAAGTAATGTAATCAGTGTTTATATATACTTATAGATAAATTAGAAAACATTTTCAGTGGTGGATAAAAATATACTTAGTTGAGACGTTCAAAATTGGCATAGTCCGTAATATAACTGAAGCATTTACTTTCTTCTTTCAATTTACTAAATAGACTAGGTTGGTTGTTGACAGAACTTTTACTCACGACAGACGTTTTAGGGAATATCGTAAACATAAAAAAGAGATGTCAGGTAGGAACTGCAGCGAACATTAATAAAGGAAAAGGAATAACATCACACCAATTGATGTGTAACAGAAAGAGATGTAGAGCAGCAGGATTTGTGCGTGTTGCCAACATCGTATTTTACAGTTCAGCATTCTTAGGAATTTAGGATAGAAAAGATGTTTATTGAAAGATATGATTCCAACCAGGCAGTTATAAAGCCGATCGTGATCTTTGCATATCCAAGCAACCTTTAACATCTGCACTACTTACTATTATTGGGTTATCTCTCTTCACTTTGTCTGTACTAGTCATAAAGCATTTCCTAACTTAACAAGGACGTGTTCAAAACGTAGCAAATGATTACAGTCACAAGTAGAAACAGGAAAGGAGATACGTCCATTCTCATAGATAATTTATTCCCAACTATAAAGCGTTGTTACACATTATAAATATAATTTAGAGTGTTTCCGAAATATGTAGCAAACTTGCAAGAGGTGATAGGGCACTATAAAACAAAAGAATGTTTGCTAGCCTTAAAGTCCACCAATTTCGAGAAACGGGGATTTAAAAGACAAGGGCCAGCCCGTCCCTGGCAGGGAAATACGACATTGCAACGCTGCATTCAATCGGCCGATACATAGCAGCATCCGTTTTGTGTTTTTGTATTCATGCATTGTTTGTTATTTGCTAGATTAGATTAAGTGTGATTGACGATAGTTATATTTACAGCCAGCCTAGACTAGTTCTTTGTTCTTTTAACATTGTAGGATTGTGTTAGCTATGTATGTCTACATTAGAAGTAGATCAATGTGTCAATGTTATAGGCTAGTGCAGAATAGTATTATTGCATTGACCAATACAACAGTTTCTAGACACATAGGGTTGCGTGAAACATCGCATATATCAAACATCAGTGCAGAACGCCAATGAGTTGCATGACCCCGAGTATGGTCGCTGCAAATGAAGTACGNGTCTATAGAGATGGCATTAATAGACTGGAACACCGCTATGAGAAATGTATCAGCCTTGGAGGAGATTATGTTGAGAAATAAAAAAAAAAAATTTTTAAAAACCTTGTTTTTCTTGGTCAGGCCGGAAACTTATCAATCCACCCTCGTATATACTTATAGATAAATTAGAAAACACTTTCAGTGGTGGATAAAAATATACTTAGTTGAGACGTTCAAAATTGGCATAGTCCGTAATATAACTGAAGCATTTACTTTCTTCTTTCAATTTACTAAATAGACTAGGTTGGTTGTTGACAGAACTTTTACTCACGACAGACGTTTTAGGGAATATCGTAAACATAAAAAAGAGATGTCAGGTAGGAACTGCAGCGAACATTAATAAAGGAAAAGGAATAACATCACACCAATTGATGTGTAACAGAAAGAGATGTAGAGCAGCAGGATTTGTGCGTGTTGCCAACATCGTATTTTACAGTTCAGCATTCTTAGGAATTTAGGATAGAAAAGATGTTTATTGAAAGATATGATTCCAACCAGGCAGTTATAAAGCCGATCGTGATCTTTGCATATCCAAGCAACCTTTAACATCTGCACTACTTACTATTATTGGGTTATCTCTCTTCACTTTGTCTGTACTAGTCATAAAGCATTTCCTAACTTAACAAGGACGTGTTCAAAACGTAGCAAATGATTACAGTCACAAGTAGAAACAGGAAAGGAGATACGTCCATTCTCATAGATAATTTATTCCCAACTATAAAGCGTTGTTACACATTATAAATATAATTTAGAGTGTTTCCGAAATATGTAGCAAACTTGCAAGAGGTGATAGGGCACTATAAAACAAAAGAATGTTTGCTAGCCTTAAAGTCCACCAATTTCGAGAAACGGGGATTTAAAAGACAAGGGCCAGCCCGTCCCTGGCAGGGAAATACGACATTGCAACGCTGCATTCAATCGGCCGATACATAGCAGCATCCGTTTTGTGTTTTTGTATTCATGCATTGTTTGTTATTTGCTAGATTAGATTAAGTGTGATTGACGATAGTTATATTTACAGCCAGCCTAGACTAGTTCTTTGTTCTTTTAACATTGTAGGATTGTGTTAGCTATGTATGTCTACATTAGAAGTAGATCAATGTGTCAATGTTATAGGCTAGTGCAGAATAGTATTATTGCATTGACCAATACAACAGTTTCTAGACACATAGGGTTGCGTGAAACATCGCATATATCAAACATCAGTGCAGAACGCCAATGAGTTGCATGACCCCGAGTATGGTCGCTGCAAATGAAGTACGCCAAATACCGAACGATTTTGCGATTTACTAATAAAAAATTATTAGTATTAATAACTGATCTTTCATATATCTTATTTTTTTCCAATTTTTGACAATATCAGGTATCTAATGGAGTGAGACAGTTATTAAGGCTATTTGAAACTTTTCTTATCAATTTTGACATATATATATTCATTGTATGTTTTAGATATTAGATATCTATTTGGGCGTACGAAATTTCCATTTATTGGACGAACGTCTTCACCCCCTGCCTCAATTTTTCCGTCGGATGGTCAGAAAACAAGATAGGGAGGTAAGCGAACACAGAATCAATATGCATGGAGAGACGAGCTCCTACACATTCCTGCATGCAAATATAGGACTCCCACACACACACACTCACGTACATAAACAGGTAGGTACATCAGCGCATACAACATAACGTGTTCCATACAGATTACCCACAGACAGGAGCGAGCGGAAGGAGTAAAGGAAGCTGAAGCAGAGACAGAATGATCAGGAGAAGGCAGACATCAGACAACAACAAGAGCAACACAGATGTACAACTTAGCATGTAAACAAGTCAGAAACATAATGAAGTTATTCCTATTTATTGCAAGCTACACCGATCACGCCTTACAAAGACGTCAAATTTCGACATCGGACCGAATATCGACTTGAAAACCTCAAACACTATTGGAGACGCGAAATCCGAATTGCCAGGGGTAGTTTATTACGCGGCCTCATTGGCCGACGCCGAAGTGGGGGACTACTACCCTTACTACCCGCACTTATTCAAAATACAAACCATCTCAATTTCAAGCCAAATTAACATGTGCCCAACCGTGAAAAACCATCACAGAAAATATATGTATCATCATCCATGATAGAAATAATTATTATGATAAAAGAACGTGCAATCAATAACAAATACAATAGCAACAGGAAGAAAATATTTATTATTTATTGTTCAGTATGAAAGGATGAAGGTTTAGCTTTAATTGTGTTTAGTAATTTTTTAACGATCGGAAACAAATAGCGTTTATTACGACAAAGAGGAGATAGCTAAAAGCTACAGCATAATACGAGCAGAATTTTCCGAGCTTTAGGTGCAAACGTTGAAGCGGAGAGGGGTGAACGGTCGACGTCAGCGAAAAAGCTGCGCGATGGTGCAAGCACTCGAGTAATAAGAGGGAACGAGAGAGATGCAGTGAACTTAGGGGGTGTTTCCGGGAAAAAGGGAGTGTCCTGGGTCACCGCGCCCCCGAAATCAAACTTACTGTGTAAACATTTACCACCTCTAGTATTTGACCGGCAGAAAAGACGATTATTGGTATATTTATTTACCCTCGAAAACAGGCAAACACTTTAGACCTTATCATTTGTTGAAAAAGTGCCGGAAACGGTAGATACTAAGAAGAGAGAGACTTTGACGGTGATACACAAGCCAATCGATTAAACATGTAATAAATAAAAACTTTGCAAACGAAAGAAAATTAATTCAGCAACAAAATGTCGTCGCTTTTAGATAATAGTAACAATAAAACTGATATTGAAGTGAGCGTGGTGTCCAGTCCGGAATCGAATTCCCGGAACGTTTCTCCGGAACCGTCGCCTGAAAATTATCGGTATATGAACGGTGGTGGTAGTGGTGGTGTTGGTGGTGGCGGTGTTGGTGGTATCGCATCCGGTCCGACGATAACGTGTTTCCCGCTTATAAAAACCGCAGAAGATGAACCGTCTGGTGGCGTTAAAGAGGTGGTAAAGAATACCGGGAAAACGACCGGGTCGTCCACAAACTTTTCCATTTCCAGTATATTAAGTCGGACCGAACCGAATACGAAAAAAACTACCCTAACCGAAATACACACCGAACAGGGACCGATAGAGAGTAACAAAATAAGTCAATCTGATAGTGCAATGTTGTCAAGGTAAAAACAATAAAATTTCCTTTTTTTGGTAACTACCTATTTTCGTATGACTGGGGTGATGATCATAATTATTGAATAAAGAAACGAAATATGAAACTCCACTTTTTATTGTATCTACAATACCTATACATGTGCGGCATCACCAATTACTTTTCTAAAGTTAATAATTTTGATTCTAATACATGTGCCAGCTTGGCCACCCGGATCATTTTGGTGTAAGTCGTCATAGGGAACTTTATCATCTTACAGAAGGTTGCACATGAAGGAGTTCAAATTGAAACGGGCAGATATAGTTAATTAAATTATTTTGCTTCTTAATTTAAATAAAAAGTGAGACACCATTTTGTGTCTTTAATTAGAAAAAGGTACATATTTTAGATACAAAACTGGACAAAGCGTTTTAGTGATTTGAGCTTGAGAATGAGCTTTCAACCCTTCAGGACTTAAAAGCACTGCAATTTAAGCCCTTTCATAAACAAATAGTTAGTTGAGGTTAATTAAATACTTTGTAATTTGTAATTCAAAGGTATTCAAACTCTTTCAATGTGCTTATAGGAATTTGAATCAAATTTATTTAGAGGTAAATTGGTAATTTCAAAGTCCTTGAATTTTAAAATATAATTGGGGCTTCAAGGGTTAAAGTACATCAAGAATAATGGTTTTGCGATTAGTCTAGAGATTGGAGCTCTTTTAGTGAGGGCTGTGGTCAGCTCTATTAACGTGTAGATAGTTAAAAATCCTTTGATAGACATTAGGACAGTGTTTGAAAAAACAGTATTGTTCTACCAAAAAAAAAAAAATAGACAAAGGTAATAGGTATTTAATTACAATTCGACATCAAATCTAAGGTCCTAATAGGATTTGCGAAAAAATCTTCAAAAAAAGGACGATAATGTTTTTATTTGATAAAGGACTTCTTAAGGACTTATATGTTCTGTTATGTTATTGCCTGTTCCTGTCTGCTAACAATCAAATTTAACATATAAATCGGATTTTCTTTTTATAGTAGTTTATAGGTACCCTGCCAGGTATGCCAGATTAATTGGTTTCTATCTTCAATAGTTTAACATATACCTATGCTTTACTACGAAATGACCAAATGTTATTTAAATTAATTGGAATATGGTTTATATTGTTATTTTGACGGAATAGTGCAGTTAGATTTAGAATATAAATGTTTGAAAAGTTTAAAATCAGAAGTAAAATTGACAATTAGGAAGTTTTCCTCATCGAAATTTTTGCTTCCAGCTATAGCGTATATATAATATANTATTAGGTATACCTAATACACTAATGAAAATATATTCCAAAAATTCGTTCCCCGAATATATTTCCAAAACTACTGAAAACAAACTACAATTATGAGAAATAAAAAACTTTAAATTCCAAAAAATAGAGTTGGCATTTATTTGGTGAAAGTGCACAATGCGAGACTAAATAAAGTTTTTTGTGGTAATTAGGGGTGAGTTTTCCTTTTAATTTTTAAATAATATTTACCACAGTCTCTTCTTTCTACTTTAAATTAACACTTTTTTACATTTTTCACCAATTTTTCATTGAAACGACCATTTAATCGCTATTGTAAATACTTACAGTTAAGTTTGCTAAATATAACATTCTGATTTACCTATATAATTAAAAATAAAATAAAATAAAAAAGGAAAACAAACTGCTACAAGAAAATAATATGAAAAGTTTGAATCAACATAAAAAGGAGTACGTATACCTATGCATTGTTTATTAAGTATTATCGTTAAATTAAGCTCTAAACAAAAATCATTATGTTGTTTTGTGATATGCTAATATTTCATCGAGTCAAGAGTAAATCTAAAAAAGACGAAGCGAAGTATTAGATTAAATAACCAAAAAAAATTTAGATCAAATTACTCGACTGATTTTTTGTGAAATCAATTTAAGTCGAAATTTTTGGGGTTAATTGATGCAGAGAAAATTTTAAAACTTACTTCAATAATAAGCAAAAAAATTTATAAACTCCTACATACGATACAGCCAATTTTAAAGAAATTTTTTTCGCATTTATTGATCGTGAAATTATTGTCGATGCCTACATCATTTTTAATTTTAATTGCGTAACCCTTTTGAAGCCAATAGGTACTTGACATTTAAACCTAATTATGACTGTTAATTATTAAAAATCCACATGTAAATAACCTATTATGCACGTATATATGTAGGTACTTAGTAATTACAAAAAAAAAGAGACGAAAGGAATAGTGTATAATAAAATAATGATTACTAGCATTGCCCTAAAAACTTAAACAGGCATGTAACTTAACACGATTAAGTAAATTAAAGTAGATGCATGCGATATCCACCGTGAGTATTCAAGAATAGCCTGTTTCCGGTTAAGCTAACGTATGTGGGGCTTCTCAAATCTATCTGCTCGCATCTGAAGTTATCGGTAATGTAATCGCCTTTCGGTGGATATATCTACATATACATACAGAATATATTTATTACCGATTTCTACCATATTAGCCAACAAAGCATACGTAAATTGTAGCTTCATTTATATTTTTGATCATTGAAGAATAAATTATTTTGAAATCATACATGGCAACGTTACACCATATGTCTGTTTGTTAATCTCTTAGTTAGACGTAGAAAAAATGGCCCAAGATTGCACTATTCAGTTAAGAGTTGTAAACAAATGACAGAAGATGTGTGAAAAATCAAAAGGCGATAGTTTCGTAGTGTTTTATATATTGTTAGCCAAGTTTATATTTAGCAGTGTTAAACATATTAGCGAATGGAAACCGAAAAAAAAATGTATTTGCGTGCCTTGCTGTAGCAGTATTAACATCTAACAAAAAGGAGTTGAAGATAACCTTAAATAAAATAGAAACGGTATTGATAAAACAGTATAGTATGAAAATAAATAAAAGTAAAATAAAAATATTGGTATGCAAGGAAAGAAAAAGTAGGGAAAGGGTAAATATAAAGTCGCTGATTTTCGGTATCTCTATAGGAAGACTGATAATTCAGGATGGAAGGAGAAATAGAGATGTAAAACAAGGGATAGCGAAGAGTCACTCGAGAACGGTTAATTTAGAAATCCAAAAAAAATTCTTAAAGGTGTATGACGGCGAAAAGAATAGGTTAGAAACGTTAGAAATATGGTTTTACGGGCGAAAGATGAAGATATAGTGAATACAGAAGTTCAGATATGAAGAGGTATTAGAAAGAGTAGGAGGACCGAGGAAGTCAGTAAGAAATAGTCGAGATAGGTTGGTAGGACACCTTCTGAGGCATGAAGGGCTAATTAGAGACGTTTTAGAAGCCCGAACAAGAGCTAAGAGGAGTAGAGGTAAACCTAGATTAGATTATGGTTCAGAAATAGTTAAGGTTGTGGGATGTTCTAGTTTTGTAAAAATGCGATGATTAGCTCAGGATATGAAAGGGTGGAGGTGTGTATCCAACTAGTATAAGGATCGACAACCCTATGATGATGATCATACCTTAAAACCGAAACTAATGCAACAGAGATAGCTGAAAATATGAAACTATAGAATTAGCTGACTAAATAAAACGTCTAATAAAAAAAGACAATGTTTATTATTACTGCAAACGAAAAACCGACGCTCAATCCTAAATTATGAACTTTTTCGAAGTAGGTTAAAACTAAAAACCCATTTCGGAAAACCCTATCATTTAGGGTGAAACGTGGTTTGGTTGTCACCATGATCAGCTCATACTTTTAACTTATTGAAAAATTTAATATCGATGATGATTTTTTAGTACTGCGACATCGTTCCTTATTCTGAACACCGTTTGTGTAATTCAGTTAATACTTCTTAATCATTATGAATTAATTATCTACTTATACCTAATAGAGGTACATTTAATTAATCCTCATTCTACTAAACAAACGTATTATAATACAATTCTCATCTTCGTAAACAGTATTTTCCTTAAAAATTAAACATCAGAAAAGAGGCAAGGAAAAAGGAATATTTAAATAAAAACCACTTATTTGTAGACGATTTCCTTTTTCTTAAACAAGACCATGGCTTTAGGGATAAATAAGCTCAAGATTCGTAAACAATTCGTAAATAGATTTTCTTTTTAAAGAAGGCGTTTTACTGAAGAAATATATACGTAATATAAGATGGGAAGGTAAGATACAGTTGAGGATGAAAAGATTAAGTAGGCGCTTGTGAGCCGTATTTTAGTTGGCCTTGTTACCTGTCTTGCATCTTCAGCATTTAATATCTCCTTTTTCCGACGACGGCCGCATAAAAAATCAAAAGATTTTCTTTATATAAGAGAACGATTGTGAAATAAACAAATTATGGAGAACGAAATGATTCCATCAAATAGTACCTAACCAATTATAGGTCTGCATGTTTAGTAAGATCAAGACCAAGACAAAGACTTAACGATGCTCGCACGACCATGACCAGACTAAGTGAATAAGACTTGGACTAATTAGTAAAATTCTCGCAAAAATATCGCTTAAATTATAATACACTTTTAAATAGAATGAAATAACTCGAAGTGGAAGTAAAATTTTTTTAGGAATCTAGCCTTTTACTCTAACAGCTTCTGTGTAAAACAGAAATAAATATATGAATAGTTTGAAGAATACTCTGAAATAAGTACAAAAAGCGATATATATAGCGTGTCCAAAATTCGTCTATTTACATTTATCGTGTTTAATATATGCTGAAAGTGTATGTACTTCTGTATAGTGTGATATGCAGGCTGTTCCAAAATTTATTCACTTGACTCATTATAAAACAAAAGAGAAAACCTTGATGTGTTCATTTTTGTGATTGTCTCCTTATTGATTAATAATAAAGATGTCAAAATTAAGGGAATGTAGAAATAGATTTGATATTGCACGCCTTGAATAGAAGCACTTTTATATATAATTTTCATTTCCCTAAACTATTACTATAAGTGTTGCAAAACAGGAATCGATCACACAAGAACAACACCAAGACTTACGGTTGAAAAGCAAGACTAAAACCATAACTAAGACTAAGTCTTGCTTTGGTCTTAAATTTGCTTATCACTAGGGACACTTTCCATCCATTTAAATATTCTCTTTCATTCTTTATTATTGTTTATAATAAAATGTTCATAAACATTGAAAAACTACCTACTTTGTTCTTTCGAACTTAGTGCTTAAGAAACATAAAACTCTTGAATAGTTTTCTTAATAGCCCTAAACAAAAATTTTCAGTCACTCAGAGTCTTTCAGCGTCTCTGAGAGCGTCTCTCATAGTCTTTCACAGTCTCTCAGTTATTGCCTAGGTGTTTTTATGGATCTTTTACAGTCTCTTTATTTTAGAGATTCGAGTCTCTCACAGAGAGATTGAATAAATAAAACTGAAAAATTGAGAGACTGGTGTCTCTCGTAGAAAGACTGGATCTCTGAAATATGTTGAACTCCACTTATTGACAGATTCGAGACTCTCGTTCAAACACTGGATACGAAATGAGAATCTCTGTACGAGCGACTCGAGTCTCACAGAGACGCTAAACAGTTTTTTTGACAGTTTCTCGACAGTCTCTCTCAGCGACACCAGAGAGACTCGATGAGAGACGGAGACTCGAGTCTCGCTTTCAGAGACTGAGAGACTGAACATTTTTATCTCGGGAGATAGTTTCTGGAAATACAGGGAGGTAAACAGCAACAAACACAATTCTTTTATTCCTCTTCGTCTTGCCCATATTGTTGTTGCTTTGAAGGCAGATTACTGTTTAAATTAATATGAAGGTGTACACCTACTGAAAGCTCTTAAAATACTTAATGTTCATTCACCAATAATGAAACAATAATGTTAATTTAGAATTTTTATTGGGGTCATGTTTTGCCTTTTGATAAGGGCAAAATAGATGTTAAGGGATCCAGTACTTTTAAGCATGAAATAATAAATATTTTTTCTAAAACATTACGTAACTACGGAATACACTTTAAAAAAAATTAAAAAGCACTAACACCGGTGAATTAGTGCGTAAAATTAGTAAAGGATTTGACATAGAAAGATAAGTTCTCTTTGTCTTCTTTGTCCATTAAATTCGCATTGACTGACTAAGAGGTTTTGCAAGCTATGAATTCTTGAAGATTGAAACTCTTACTTCCATTAAAATTCCCTAAGAAGCTTACCGATGAAAGCCAGGAGCTTTTCCCGGCGTCCATCACCGAGCACTTTGATCGATAGTACTGTTTTTATTTGGGTTTCAACAACTGACTCGCAACAGTTTAATTTTTTCGAGTCAACAAATTGATGCAAGATGCACTTATTTTTTTGGTCGTTTGTTCACGAACCAAAAGTACCAGCAAAATATCAATGCAATGGCTATTTCTGTTTCTAAAGAAACTGTTAAAAGTTTCTTCAAGTTCTATCTGAAAGTCATTCAAATTTGAATTAGTTTGTATTCTTAATATCGGTGAAATTCTCAAACTTCGGCACATCAACATTGATGCTTTGGTCTGATTTGCGATTAGATTTTGTGCTAAGTGGATGTTCTCTAAGATTTGTAGAAAAAGCTTTTGGCAATGTTAAATGGGATAAGATGTCAAATATACTTATACATCGAAAACGCGATCAACATCATTAAATACAGTACAATTGTAGGGATATATATAGAAGGGTAAAAGATTAGAATGCTTAGATTTGCAGATGATATAGCAATATTAGCATCTAGCAAGGAGGAGGTATAGACAGTTTTAAATAAAATGGAAGCGGTATTGAGGAAACAGTACTGTATGAAAATAAACAAAAGTAAAACAAAAATACTGGTATGCAAGGGTAAAAAAAGTAGGGAAAGAGATATAATGATAGGAAACGAAAAATTAGAAGTGGCCGATTTTTGGTATCTAGGAAGTCAGATAAGTCAAGACGGAAGGAGTAGTAGGGATATAAAGCAGAGGATAGCGCAGGGTCGTGTCGCCTTTAATAAAAAGAAGTCACTTCTATGCTCGCGAACGGTTAAATTGGAAAAGGTTGTTAAAGGTGTATGTTTTCTTTTCTTTTCCTTTTCTTACTTGAAAAATATACCCCTTTTATTAAAAAACGGTTGCTTTTCGCAGAATTTTATATATTTTTATTAGGGTAAAAATACCCTAACTCGTAGAACTCCCCTTACCTTGCCTCAGAACCCCGGGGTTCCGCGAGACACCTTTTAGAAACCCTTAGTCTACTGTGCCTATTTTAAAATCACCCTCTCCTGCACTATATATAGAGTCAACTATCTTAAAAGGTAGAGACACCATGATTTTTATGTGTCGAAAGACTAATTTGGTAGACATGTCTTTCTCTCTTTCTTATCATAAATAAGTTAAAAGCAAGTAAGCAGATAGTGGGTAAAATACAATGCAAAAAGAATTTTAAAGCAGCTCAAATTTTATAAAGGGAATTTTTTAACCGGTCTCGACTGTTAAGTTAATGAAGCCGTCGGTGTTTCCAAGAAACTTAATCGGAAGTTATGTTCGTTTAATAACGGAAGTTGGAATAGTTTGTAGCGATTTATCGAAGATGGGGGTTGTTAAAAGGCAGAGCCACTAGATTGGAAGAGATTAAACTTTATCTTTGTTCCTCGCGGTAAATGGGGAAATTATGTTCGAATTTACTTAAAAACTCTTAATTTATGAACTTCAACAACTTGAAAGTTTAATGGCCGAATAAGGGAAGAAAACGAACGTTTTCCATTCAGAATTTTACGTAAAAATTAAAAGTTATTTCCTACTAAAAATAAAGTTGAATTTTAGATACATTAACATAATTTAAGTACTTACTGGTCAATTACTGGTAAAATGTCTAAACCTGCGAAAGTCTAGAAACCTAAACATTTTTTAGGGTTTCAAAAACAACAGAACCCTAATTGGTCCAAAATTAGATTTAGCCTACTATTTGGGGATAAATAACTATCTAAATAGCAATTAAACATATTCTTATACATAATTGTTAAATTATTTGGTTATTACTTTGTCCTGAAGCTATTAAGGTTGAGCTGCATGAACTGTAACAATACCCTGATACTACTACTAGAATATGTTTTTAATAAAAATTAATTTATTCTCCTTTGTATTTTCTTCTTTCTTTCTTCAACAAAACGAATTATAAATGCTGTTTTTATTTTGTTCCAGGTTAGGATTAATGTCCCACTTTGGTGCTCTGGCTGCTGCCAGCAGTAGATATGCCGCCCTTTGTGGTCCTACAGACCCAAGAAACTTACCCTGGTACTGGAGCAGAATACAACCTCAATTGATACAAGACAGGCCAAGTCCAAACGGTTAGTAAAATTATAAATTATCACACAAGGCATATGTACTCTTTTAAATTATAACTATTCTCCAAAATATATTTATATTTACAGATTTTTCAAATTATCCAAAAAATACCGTGAAAATTTGTTCTAAAAATAGTGATATATTATGAATCTCTATGTGTAGTTACGTTTTAAATATTCCTTTTAAAATATTAATTATTTAAATTTTCACACGATTAGAAATCTTTTTTACTGCGTTTTCTGAAGAAAGAGTCTGATACTTTAGTTTATTGATGTATTTTTCAGAATCTGATTGTTTCTACTAGTGATGAGCAAAATCGGTCCCAGTCTTGCAGTCTTGGTCTTGACCAAGACTGAACGAATAAGACCAAGACTAAAACTAAGACTGAATATGCAAGACGGAGACCAAATATGAAAGGTTAAACCAAAAACTATTACTTCCGGTAGATTTATGAGTATAAAATTTTAAGTTTGCTTTACTGGATTTTAACACTATATACAAAAAAAGAAACACTGTTTGAAAAATGGCATCTACAAGCATGTCCTCGGAGTAAGTGTTCCTATGTTTCAATTACACATGGTTGAAATATAGAGAATACTATTTTTTTCCATATGTTTTTCTCATTTCAAGTATCTTGTATACTTCATTTACTTTCTCTACGATGTGCCCCCTTCCAATGTCTTGGATGCGCGTTGGCAAAATCGTAGATAGGGAGAAAAAGCTCATTATACTCTCGACTTTTGTTCATTAAACATACTTTTGCATACAGTATCTGCCAAAAGCTTTGTTCAATCATGAATAGTAGTGCGAGTCGAAAACAAGCGTTAAAGTCTTTAATTTGTCTTCAAATATAAGTAAATATCTCATTGATATTTTCAGTGGTAAATGGTACCAATAACAGCACATTTGAGCAATGCAACTGTAGTGGATAATATGGTCAATTTTTCCGTGTAGTACTGTACGGATTATACGCTCCTCACCGGTTAAGAGTTCGGCCGAGAGTTGTCTCCTTCCTTTTCTTGCCTGGTACTGCTCTTTTCTACTTTGCGCCGGTCAAACTGAATGTCACATCGCTACAGAAAGTAAACGAAGTATACTATTCTATTTGCTAAAAGGTCAAGTGAAGTCAGTTTATGCGTTGAAGGAAGGGTCAATTTATGCATTCGAGGATGGGTAAATTCACGAGTCTTCACAAATCACAACTATCGACATCATTTTTTTTATAGTAATGACAAGCTTGCATGTATGACATAAAATTTTAGCATTTAAGACAATTGCTATATAGCTAAATAGAAAAATTTAAGCTTAGAAGAATTATTAAGAAGCAAGGGTAAGACAAAACGCAAAACCAAGGCCAAGGCTAAAAGTATTTTAGCAAAACCAAGACTGGGACACCCTTGATCTTGATCTTACTTTGCTCATCACTATAGTTTCTATTACGTAATTGTTTATACCTAAAAAGGTTATACCCGGTTACATGTGCAATAAACAAATGATAGCACTCGTTAAAAGTAACCGAGTTCAACTGTAGGAGATCTTTGTAATTCTACTATAGAAACAAGTGTCTGTAATCGATTTTCGTTGCTGTTTTTCACGTGAATATCTTTATCAAATAAACTGGCGGTTTTCAGTGGAGAGACATCGAAATAGAAGAGCCGTCGAAATTGGGTCCATTGAAATGAATTTAGACAAACGCTTCACGCGATTCGGGTTTCAATTAGTGGACCATTAACGTTTGCCGCACGTTTCAATACAAACTTATCGATCGCGCCGGTGACCGGAACCGGAGACACTTCCAATTTCGATCACTTGCTGTGCCGACCAAAAACACCAATCGCGCTCAATGTAGTAATTCGAGATCGAGCCAGTTACGAACGATGTTAATGATAATGGCCTCTAATCTTGATGATGACGATTCAAATGTCGAATGCCCACGAAATGTAATTCCTGTGACGAACGAATAGAAGCACCACACATACGATCATATCGTATTCGTCGTTTTAGGGGTTCCATAGGTATATCAAAAAGAAAAAGAAAATCCTTGTAGGATCACTTCGTTGGCTGGTTGACTGTCTGTCTGTCAACACCTTTTTTCTACGGAAGAGACATCAAATTGAATTTAAAGATGGGAGACGAAAAATTAGAAGTGGCTGATTTTAGGTATCTAGGAAGTCAGATCAGTCAGGACAGAAGGAGTAGCAGGGATATAAAGCAGAGAATAGCGTAGGGTCGTGTCGCCTTCAATAAAAAGAAGTCACTTCTATGCTCGCGAACGGTTAATTTAGAAATTCGAAAAAGGTTATTAAAGATGTAGGTTTGGAGCGCGGCGCTGTACGGATGCGAAATATGGACAGTGGGCGCGGTGGAAAAGAAAAGGTTAGAAACGTTCAAAATGGGGTGTTACGGGCGGATGATGAGAATACTGTGGATAGAGATGGTTAGAAATGAAGAGGTATTAGAAAGAATAGGAGAACAGAGGACTCTATGGAAGTCAATAAGAAATAGGCGAGATAGGTTAGTAGGACACCTTCTCATGCATGAAGGTCTAGTAAGAGACATATTAGAGGCAAAAACGGGAGCTAGGAGGGGTAGAGGTAGACCTAGATTAGATTACTTCTCACAAATAGTTAAGGACGTGGGTTGTTCTAGTTTTAGGGAAAAGCTAAGATTAGCTCAGGATAGGAAGGAGTGAAGCTGTGTGTCCACCCAGTCATAGGAATGATGACCTTATGATGATGAATCAAAAGATACGGACGCTTTTGCGGCATATTTTGACATTCGCATCAAGGGAATCAAAACATACAGGATAGTTCCCGTTGACCGAGAATAATAATATTTCATAAAAACCATTGTCTTATAGCACAAGTAATTCCAAAAACTGTTAGTTTACATCACAAAAAAATATTGTAATTTTATACATTTTGGGGACTATTTTAGAGGGTAAACTTAAAACATAATAGGAGAAAGCAGGAAAAAGAAAAGGACGAACTATTTCTTTAGCTAGAACTTTGGCCGGATTTTTTACGTGAAGCACAATTTTTTCCTGATAATTTCTCTGCCTCCTTGCTCATCGTGCAGATTTCTATAGTGAAATACCACACCGCTGGAACAACAATTTTTGCATCTAATTCCTAAACGAGAAGTAGCTACCAACATTAACATTGATGATTATAGTGTGTTGCACAAATTTTGAGAAAAAATTAAAGAAAACAGCAAAATCGATAATATCAAGCGAACATAGGGAGTACTATACTGTACTTCTTTGGTCCTACATGCGAGCCATCACTGATGCTCATAACATATAATATTTAAATTACTTTTTGAGAAAATATAAGTAACTCGGAACTGTCATGTTTGAAGCAGTCTCTTGTAAAAACATCATAAAATCGCTAGTGGATAAGTAAGCAGTTAACGATTGTCAGATGCACGATATAGCAAGCAATATGTGTAACGAAGCGAGTCAAGTTCGACTTATTGCAGCGCATTTGAGACTCGTTTAAGCGGCTTTTACAGTTTGGAAGCCGTACAGCTGCCGCGGCTGCAGGTTTGTCTAATCGATGTAAGCCGTACAAGAGCCCTAAGCAGCGACGACAGCAACACGGAATGGAAATCGGCAGAAACAATATAAATACCAAAGACTTCGACTTGGAAAGCTCACCTTAACAACATCTACCGCTTTGGTTTAAACGGATTAGCGAGAGCGCCTTGCGCTTCCATCGGAAACAACTGTCATTACCGATTCCCATCCACTAAAATTTATCTACCTACGAACCGAGTTTATATTACAAAAGGGGTGATTATAGAAAATAAAAAATCCGATTGCGCAAATCTCAAAAACAATATATCAGAATCTGTGAAATAGGTCAATCTATCAAGTACCACATAGGAAACCCTCATGTGTCCCAAGTAGACTAACTTATCTAGAACCATACAAAATACCCCATGTAGGTTCTCCTACTCAGGATAATATGGTACTACAATCTTCTCGATGTAAGTTAACCTACTGAGGGTCATATATGATACCCTGATATGTCCTATGTAGGTTAACTTATTTAGATCCATATATAATACCCTAATCTGACCCAGGTAGGTTCTCCTGCTCCGTAACATACGGTACCCTGATCTGCTCCAAGTAGGTTAACTTATTAGGGTTCATATAAGATATCCTAATCTGCCCCATGTAGGTTCTCTTGCTTTATAACATACGGAACCCTGATCTGCTCCATGTAGGTTAACTTATTAGGGTCCATATAAGGTACCCTAATCTGCCACATATAGGTTCTCCTGCTCTATAACATACGGCACCCTAATCTGCTCCAAGTAGGTTAACTTATTAGAGTTCATATAAGATACCCTAATCTGCCCCATGTAGGTTCTTCTGCTCTATAACATACGGTACCCTGATCTACTCCATGTAGATTAACTTATTAGGGTCCATATAAGATACCCTAATTTGCCCCATATAGGTTCTCCTGCTCTATAACATACGGCACCCTAATCTGCTCCAAGTAGGTTAACTTATTAGAGTTCATATAAGATACCCCATGTAGGTTCTCCTGCTCTATAACATACGGTACCCTGATCTGCTCTATGTTGGTTAACTTATTCAGGGCTATATATGATACCCTGTTCAATCCCATGTAGGTTCTTCTACTCAGTATTATAGGGTACTCTGATCTGCTCCATGTACGTTAACCTGTTTAGGATCATATATGTTACCCTGATCTGCCTCATCTGCATTCTCTTGCTCAGGATTATATGCTACCCTGATCTGCTCCAAGTAGGCTAACCTGCGTAGGACCATATAGGGCAGCCTGATCCGTAACACATAGGGTGTCGCAATCTGGGCCTGACATTTAGAGGCCTTACAAGTCACATCATCATTTCAATCCTGTTAGGGTAACTGGTATCCGATATGGATTTGGACCCTACTTATTTTCTACTCGACATATTACTGCCATAGCATTTGCCTAAACCGCAGAAGAATTTGGGCAATGACAGGGTCAATCAATAGAAAAGATCGTTTTCTTGTAATAAAATAAAAGAGTGCAGAATTTGAAGGTTTCTGATCCTCAACCACTGACAGAAAAAATTACTGCTCCATATGACGACTTAGAACTTTTAATCATTTTTGAAAATTCGAAGGCCAATAAAATAAACGTGTTTTTTTTGATATATGAGTCACTCAATTCTAAAAGTGATTCAGAGTCAGAGTCCCGCCTAATCGACGTACTGCCACATGAACGCCCAGACTAAACTCTTGAACCTGGATAGCTGAAATTTTACACAAAGGCTTCCTTTATAATGTATACTTGGAAGGATATTTCGAATTAGGCCATTAAGTCGGCGACAAGCAGCTCGAATTTTATTATAAACCATAAGCATTACAAACTAAACAGTTGTCTCAGATTTACCAAAAATCTTCCAAACAGTTTTAAGTACTAACTGGATATGTAACAACACTAAATGAATAAGGTTTTCTTATTACATATCAACAAAAAACAATTCTTATTTTTCAGTAAAATGTTTTTAGGTCAGCAAGTATTGTTCGCTGACCTAACCGATTTTCTTTTTTTTTTGCAGGCAATTCTATCAATAGCGACCATTCTCCGCCAATGTCGCCGCGGGAAGTTCAACACAGCACCCAATCTTCGGAAACAGGTCGTTCCTCACGGCCCACAACCCCATCCGAGACCCAGCGAACGCCGGAGAGCAGTCCGCGTCATCCGTCGACAATGACCTCGAGTCATCCGGCCTTCTTGGACCAAAACTACTTACAAATACCCAGAGCCCGGAGTCCGTACAGAGAAAACGACGGCATCACAATGGAAGAGGACGTGGACGAAGAAGAAAGTGACTACGACAACGACAAAGACAAAAAGACGCAAAATAACCAAAACAACATGAACTCGGCCAATAATCTTGCAAACAAACGAAAAAAGAAAACGCGAACGGTATTCTCCCGATCCCAGGTGTTCCAACTCGAATCGACGTTCGACATGAAAAGGTATCTATCGTCTTCGGAACGAGCGGGACTTGCAGCTAGTCTACATTTGACCGAAACCCAAGTGAAAATCTGGTTTCAAAACAGAAGGAACAAATGGAAAAGGCAACTTGCTGCGGAACTTGAAGCGGCCAACATGGCCCACGCTGCCCAAAGGTTGGTGAGAGTTCCTATTTTGTACCACGAATCCACCAGCTCTCCAATTCGACATCCTTTCGATCAAAGTCCTACCACTCTTGGACTTCACCATGCGTTGGATGGTAACCGAGATGGTGCACCGAGTGTGACGAATCCTGTGGTTAGTTCAGCTGCTGCATATCCCACGTCCCTGTACTATCATCACCAAGCGGCTGTTGCGGCTGCAGCAGTTCATAATCTCCCGTCTAGTCCTGTCAGTAGACCTCCGATGTCAGGATTGGTGTGAGCATTTCCATTTGTATAACTAACTCAAACTTCTTTGTGAATTGTTGTTGTTATTGGTTGGAATGGTGAAAGTACTTCGGTTGGATTTAAATTAACACATAATTGAGAATCATTTTAGATTTATAATTAATTCAAATTTAAGACGGAATAACTTCTTGGTCCTTGTTTTATACTAACAAACTCATTCGAATTAGAGTTCAACTTAATACGTTAAAATCATTTTCGCTCTACAATGATTTTAAACTTCAAATCTACTTGATTGTCTATTTAACTCTGCACTATTTGCAATAAAAAATGATTTTAAAAACAAATCCGATTGGAATCATTCTCGTTCTACAATGATTCAGAGATTCACATACCTGTTAGATATGATTGATTCTTGAATTCTTAATTCAGTACTAAAAAATGATCACATTTGAAGTTGCTTTAAATTTAATATATTAAAATCATTATCGTTCTATAATGATTACTGTTTTATGAAGATTTGAGGAGTCTCTAGCACAAAATATCTATACTAAAAAGTATGTGAAGTAAATCTAATTGGATTTGAATGCAACATAGTAAACTCATTTTCGCTATACAATGATTTCATGATTTAGACGTTGATTTTGCTGCCTTTTTAATTTCTCGATTTATATTTAGTAAACATTCTAGTTGGATTTTAATCATTTTTGCGCATTAATGATTATACTTTTTATGTCGATAATATGCTCTTTTTATTTAAAATAATTCTATGTGAAATATTTCTAATTGTTGAATTTAAATTTGAGACTCCTTGAATCATTTTCGCATTTGAAAATTAAGTCTACGAAAACGAGCTCATGAATAATCTTTCAATTTTCTTATGTCTGAATATTATCATGATACGCACAATAATTTCTTTACCTGTGTTCTTTTAAATTCGACGTTGAAGTATTGTAGATGTGAGCTTGTAAAGCTTTGTAAATGATTTGTCATTGTTTAGTTCTTAAAGTTATAATTGCCATTAATCTTGTAAATATGACGTCAATGTAAAAATTTGTAACAGTTCAACGCTATAGTTACCTATGTACCAAAAAAATCCAATTATAGATCTTGTAAATTGTATAACAGTAACTTGCAGAAGTACTGTTGCTGTGAGTAAGTAAATGGTTATAAATAGTAAAGATTCGCTTTATTTAACCCTACCATCCAATGGCGTCGAGTGATTTTATTAATCATATATTTTCTACTAACTTCTAGGAAGCAATAGTAAAATTCGGTTGTAACGACTTGACGGGCCTGCAAACACATGTGCGTTATATCAAAAGTTCGTTACAAGAGAACTACAGTCAGCCGTGATATTTTGTATGGTTTTCTTTTTGGATACGCATAAACAAAATCGAAGTGACCAAATTTACAAAATGATTTTTTCTTCGACAAAATACTTACAAAAAGAATGTTTTTACAAGCATTCGATGGTCCTAATAATTCATAATGTACAATAATGCGTGCGGGGGTCACATTTGGCCTGATTCTTCTCTTATTGCCAAAGCTTTGTCGATATGATGACTTATAGTTGAGTGACTGATCTTTTAGACTGCGTGGCCATAAACCGTTGTATAGATGAACTCATTTTTGCGGTCCAGTTGCCAACTTTTTGAAGTGAAACTTCTTTACGAACGGTAGGGTATATTCGTTTCATGACAGTTGCTATGTAACGAAGTCATGCAACGGATGTCCCTCCTCAATTCGGTCACGTAGTCGAGTTCGTCGTGGGGATCGCTTGAGCCGTGAGCGCGCTTCAATGCAACGTTCGTTACAGGCAACTCCGGCATGTATAGTGTAAAATTTAAATTCATAGTGTACAAATAATACCTTTAAATCAATTACTTAACCCCTATCCCGGTATGTTTGTGTGTTTGAAGAAGTTTCACTTCAGTAGCGTGATGTATAATAACACGTTGTATTTTTTTAAGTAGGTTTAACTTCGGTCTTGTCAATCTTCAAGTCTTTTCTTAATCCAATTGATTACATTCAATTAATTACAGTCACACAAACAAAAAATCGGCCTAGGGGTCTAACTACGTACACTGTATGTTTTTGGGGTCACTGAAACCAAATCGGCGGTCAATTTAACCCCAGCACGTGAGGGTTTAGACCTAATTTTAAACCTAAAACCCGTAACCAAACAACTCTTCCTCTAAATGTATAACTTCATAATCATTTAAACCTCTAACGCTCAAACCTTGTAACCTCATAATCTTATATCCCCATAATCAAAATATTTGAAACGATATCGCTCAATCTCTCGCCGCAGAACTATTCGTAGCATCGTGGCGTACAATTCATAAAATTAAAACAGAATATCCTCAAGATTGCCAACGCACACCCCGAGAAGGTAACATTAATTTTGTGAAATCTACGTCACAAATAGCCTTATAGTGAAAGATTCAGCAATACTGTTTCAGTATTTTAATTACGGGGTTATAGGGTTATTTGATATCATAAGGTTTTAGAGTTAGGGTTTTAAAGATTTTATAGGAAGTTGATATTGAGTGAAGGAGTTGATTGCTTACAGGTTTAAGGTTTAAAATCGTTTGAAATTATCATGGCTAACGGTTTTAATGAATTCTGGTGTGTTTTGTAAGGTTATGTCCACATTAACCCTTACGTGTTGAGGCTAAAATTGCGGCGAATTTGGATTCAGCGACCCCAAACTGAAAATATACGATATATATCGTCAGACCCCAGGCCAAAATTTTTTTTTTGTATTATTTATAATTAAAGAGAACATTGTTTTAAATTATCATCCTTTGTACAGATAGCATTTAAATACTATCACAAATAAACGCAATTCATTTGACACACTCTGATAAAAAAGTATCGTATTTATATGTTAACTTTATTAGTTATACATTACTTTGGGGGTGAGTTTTTGTCATTCATCTAGCATTAATTACCATTCCCTTTTTGTTACTGTACAAAATCTAATCATCTCACCGCAAGGGGCAAATAAATAAACAGTTCGACCAATTGAATTTATCAGTCGCGCATATCAAATCTTTTCGTCGTGATTTTCTATCGCTTTAATGGAAGTTTAACTTTAATCAGTGCCCTTTGAACATCTGGTACCCTAGCAATACAATACAAAAGTGAAAGGATGGGCGTAGTACTAAACAAGCCGAGTTGTTTTGTGCATTGGGGTTGAGTCAAATTACATGTTACCCTTCCTTCACGTTATCCCCGTTCGTCTGACGACCTGGCGCAAAACGGTTACGCGATAATTTCAAATTAGTTTTAAAAAATTTAGACAAATTATGTATTTACTATCAATACATTTCGCTTAGAATTGCAGATGATACAGCGGTATTAGTATCTGGTTAAGGAGGAGTTAAAGATAGCTTTAAATAAAATGGTAAAACAGTATCTATGGTATGACAATAAATAAAAGTAAAACAAAAATGTTGATATTCAAGGGAAGAAGAAGGAAGGAAAGAGTGAATATAAAGACAAGAGCTTATTTTCAATATCTAGCAAGTCAGATAATTCAGGATGGAAGGAGCAGTAGAGATATAAAACAAAGTACCCAGTAACGCAGGGTCGAGTCGTCATTAAAAAAAAACAAGTCACTTATAATATTTAATGTTTTTCACCTTTTTTATCATTCTGCATATACATATGCACTATGTCTGATAAGCATTCCAGAATATTTAAAGGGTAACACCTGGAGGCACTGCAAGGTAATAGTATCACAACGTAAGGGATGTAAAAAATGCGCACAAAAATACCCCAGTTAACGAGCCGTTAATGATTGAGTACGGTTATAGCGTTGTCTGATAGGCTTTTGACGAAACGCACATACCTATTCGTGACCTTCACAAACAGCTGATACGTAAACAAGTCAATTGGAATAATCTGTACTCGTTGGCGTTCGATTGGCATAGTATTACCGCAAAATACAAAAATAATTTGAATGTGGAAATATCAAATAAAAACCAATGTATTCACATGCAGAATATGAGGATATGGTGGTCACATATCAACGGTGCAATGAGAATGTACTGCGGTTACGCGAATACGCGTCATCGTCATTGTTGCCGGAGCAGTTGGAGCTTTCGGTAAGGTCACTACCCTCAAGTTTATGTATATCACTGAGTGGTGCGAGATGGCTCATTCGGCTTCTTTTTCGTGTACCTTCTTTTCCCTTAATTTTTCCGGAGCACTAATCAGACATAGTATACATATAGCGTAATGTTGGTCTACACAAACTAGAACTTTTATGCACAAAAGTTCTCGGAAAATAAATATATACTTTTATATACATAACTAGCTTAATTTCCCATGCGTCAAAAAATCTTAACTAAAAGTGCACAGAGAAGGATCGAAAAAAAGGCGGAAGAACTATTAGGAGAAGATCAATTTGCATTCACAAGAAATAGAGACACGCGAGAAGCCATTCTAGCGATACGGGTAACAATAATGATAACGATAGAAAAAGGAAAGAGCGCGTACAGTGGATTTGTATATAGATTTAGAAAAATCTTTCGAAAATTAGAAGAAGTGGCTGATTTTAGGTATCTAGGAAGTCACATAAGTCAGGGCAGAAGGAGTAGTAGGGATATAAAGCAGAGGATAACGCAGGGTCGAGTAGCCTTCAATAAAAAGAAGTCACTTGTACATATACTGGCGTACGATTAATTAAGAAATTCGGAAAAGATTGTTACAGGATTCTATGGAAATCAATAAACTATAGGCGAGATAGGTTGGTAGGATAACTTCTCAGGAATGAAGGTCCAGTCAGAGACATATTAGAGGCAGAAACAGGAGTTAAGAGGAGTTGAGGTAGACCTAGATTAGATTACTGTTCGTAAATAGTTAAGGATGTAGGTTGTTCTAGTTTTAGGGAAATGCGAAGATAAGCTTAAGATAGGAGTGGATGTGCGTGTCCAACCAGTCTTAGGACTAACGACCTTATGATGGTGATGATGAGGGCAAACATGTTTTAGTCATGCACGAGTGAGCTGTGCACCGATCGTACCGCAGTCTTTTATAATAAGCATTGAATGCTGAGACTTATAATAATTTAATTTAATGGTACAATCAGCTGCTACCGTTTCTGTAGGTCCACATTGCTATTACCTAAGGTACTTTCTTAAAACTGCTTTTTCGGCTTCTAACACGCCCCTATTCAGCCCTACATGGTTGAGAAGGTGTCCTACCAAACTATCTTGCCTACTTCTTACTGACGTACTCAGTTCTTCTGTTATTGATAGTAAGTCCTCATCTCCAACCTTCTCTATTCACGGTATCCTCATCATTTGTATTATTACTACATTCCGAACAGAGCCGTGCTCCAGACATATACCTTTGACAATTTTTCTAAATTAACAGTTCGCAAGCATGTTAAAGGCGACTCGGCCCCTTTGTTTCAAACGTGTGAGCATCAGCGGCCGATGTTTGGGGCCCCTTTTCAAAAAAAAAATAAAAAATAAATAATAAGCAAACTATGAAATTCTTAAATAATCCGTAATTTTACAATTTAGAAGAAATATTTATAACTGGAATAAGGGGCCACTTATGTAGCCCGCATGATCATATCTTTGTTCATCACAATTTTATACATTCAATTAATTATGAATTACACAT